TAATTGAAAAGTTTCCCAAAGAAAATTCTTATTCTCATAAAAAATGACATTTATTGTGCTCCAAGCAGCTATTGTTGCTATTAAGAACAACCAAATACGACTGCTGGGACGAGAAATTAGTCGCCTGAAGTGTCTGGTTCCGTCGCGGATCCATAATCAGAGAAAATAGCAGGAGCCGCAATTCATGCACAGGGACTTTTAGTATTTATAGGATATAGTTGTTGTGCTCCTGCAAACCTGTGACGAACGGCTGCCCCCATCGAGAATAGTTGTCCGCTTGTGCCTAAATAACTTGATAGCCGGCGCGTTGATCGGGACCTGCTGAACTTTTATCATCTTTGCTTGATTTGGGCCTGATGACTGATCAACAATGTGGCGCTAGCGTCAGAGCACGTTTTCGCTTATGCTCTCCCAGAGTGGCGAATCACTTTGGTCAAACTGAGTCTCAGCCGTGAATAGAGGTTTGAAAGATCATTGAAATTGTTTGTAGACTGCGGGTCCGTAAACTATGGTTCAAGCAACTCGCACGTAACGCGATTGTCCCCTCTTGCGAAGATTTCGGTCTCATCAAGTTTGATTGTGTGGTCGAGTCTCGACAAATGAGCAGCAAATCGAGCATTTGCGTTACTTAGCCTCACTACTGCCACGTGCTCGACAGTTCGCGTCTGGATAAGTCTTTCGGTTTCCCACATGCAGTTTTTTTGTCCGCAACCGCACTAGATCCTATAGACGGCTTCGGATGTTTCTTGTCATGGCATTGTGTCTTTTGGTTTCATTACATGACGCCTATATTGATGCTATGATGGGTATGGATATAATTCTTTTGAGCATAACAACTGGTGATAAAAGGGTTAAATATTCGCGGAAATGAGCCATAGAAATTGAGATTTAATGTGCAATTAATCTGAATATACTGTACATTAATGTGAAACTCCCTGGAAGTGAATATTCTGTTCAAAAATACAAAGTCATTCTTTTGGACAACATTTTAAGGAGGGTTTTAGGATCTTCATTGCTATTCATGCCATGTTATTGAAATATAATTGGTGGTTTTCACGAACCTCCTTTAAATTCAGCATAATCTGAGATATCATTTTATAGGCCAGCCGAGAACTAACCTGAGTGCTAAACTAATAGGAAATTATTTTATATCATCGAATCTGTGAAAATTACATTTTTCATTAAGCCTAGATATTGCTATCGCTTGACATAACTATAAGCTGTTTATGTCTACCCGAAAAATATTCTACATTTTACCGTTGAGGTGGAACGCGTTACAATGAAAATCGACGTTTCTCATACCGAACATTCTCATCTTATCGGTAAAGGTGGCCAAAATGTCAAAGCAATGATGGTGGACACGAAGTGTCATATCCACTTCCCAGATTCCAACAGGACAAATATTTTTGAAAAGAGCAACCAAGTTTCGATTTCTGGAAGTCCTGCGGATGTTGATCGGGCGCGAAAGCGAATTCGGGTAACTGATTTGCACAAATGTTACTTAGTGTCCCAGTTGTCGAAATAATTGCAAACTTTTCTATGATTCTTAGTCAAATGGTCACTTACAGATCAGCTAATTTAGTCTTTTACAATTGCAGATTTCGGTAGACCGCCTTTGTTTCACATTAGGGAATATTTTGGAAACTTATTCTGTGTTCTCTGTTAACTCAACTTTCACATTTGTGAGGAGTCGCCAGAGGAAAATAGAAGGGATGCCTTAACAAACACAAAGATAGGAAACGAGCTAAAGATCTGAAGAATGTTCCATTTGCATATATCGGCCGAAAAATTTATCATCCGTAAATATGACATATTAATCTACCTTTTACATAAAGGCCATCTTAGTTAGACAATTGTTAGTTGAAAAATGTTGTTTGTTATTCCCACCTCGCTCGTTTTAATCAGGAATTGAGATTATCGCTGGTTTCTGTAATACGATCTCAGACTTTATCCTTCGTTCGGGTTGCAAAACGACCTTCTATAACTCTACCCTGAACAAGAAAGGCAGTACATGTTAAGATACTGGTAAATGGAAGGAATCCACCCGGGTCTTCAGGTTATCTACCCGTTAAATTCAGCTAATCGGATCTAGGTTTTTGAAAGTAATATTCAGTTTAGTTAAACTTTAAAACCAAGACCGGCTGATCTTCGCAAAATTGCTGTTAACTTTTAAGATGTAAACTTTTAAATATCTGGTTGTATGAAAGAAATTTTTTTGGTCGCGTGTGAAGGGTTATACTGATTTTAACTATGAAATGAAATAGGCTGAAACAAAGATATTCGACGTGACTGCCGTTTTACTGGTTGAAGATGGCCCAGCGATCGAGTCGTCTTCTTCTCAGTTACTTCCTGAGACTCACATGTTCGCTTGTATTGATGGCGGTTTGTCTATTTGCTAAATTGGTTGATTCATATCAGATATGCTGCAGTTGGTGTACTACATGAAGAATATTCTATGATCACTGTTCTATGATCTTTACCATATTTATAACAAATATATTCGGAAAACTAAATGAATTTGTTATTTGCTTTACTTTAACTGGTAATTTGAGGCAGTATCTGAACTTAAACTCCGTTTCCAATCTTAATTTAGCAAATGCTTCCACTAGTCTATAACTTCCAAATTGAACGTCCTTCACAAACCATCGCCCTTTACCGCGCCTCGCCAGTTCTGCAACAAATTGAGGCAAAGTGGCAGGTTGAAGTCAGTTATCGACATAAGTACCTTTATCCGCTCTCTGATGTCGTTCCACTCTGCTCACCGGTGTCACAACTATCCTCGGGCATCGTCGTCAGCGTCCGCGGTCTCAACGCGTTTGCATCCAGTGTCATGGAAGCCACTCACTTTCTGTTGTACTATCATTTTGGAAAACTTGCGGTAAGAGTTTGGATAATGTCTTCAACTGTCTAGTGCTGTTTGCACTTGGCGTTCTATTTGAAGGCCATGCATACATAAACCCCTTCCATAAATGCACGCATAAACGTTGTGAGGAATTATTTCGTAAATGAATATCCGCTGATGCCTATTTTCTCGTCTGAAGGCCCCCAAACAGATATGAAGAGTTGAATGCGGATAATAGTACACCATAATTTTATAATAATCTACGAGCGGAAGAAAAGTCTCAATAAATTTGGACAAATACAACAAACTGCTGATAGAAGCTAACGGGTGAGTTCTAGGACGCAGTTCAGAAGAATAAGTAGATGCGATCACTGGAGGAAAGAACTTTGTCCGACGCCAGGTGTCCTCTCTCCTTATGGCTTATTGGCCACATGAATTAATCTCTAAGGTCGAACGCGATGCACTAAACGAACTCAATGCTAAAAAACAATAATATCGTGCCTGCGGACAAGGGGCGTTTCACTGTTGTATTAAAAAGTACAAGCTACCTTCGTAGGGCCCAAAGCTAATTGGAGGATCACCAGGTCTACGTTTCATGCGAGAGTAGTTGGCTGGGGTACGTAAGCTTTCAATAAATTGTCATCGGGCAAGTGCATTGATATGGGAATTGAGTACAAGTTGAAACATGCGGCGAATAATCTTTGTTTTTTCATACAAGTGAGTCGTGGGCATAGGGTGTAGGGGGTTGGGTAGGAGGTCGATAAGAGAAGGCTGGCTAGGCGGATGGGAGGGTGTGGTGTAGCCGGTACAGGAGAAGAAGGGGTGAGCTCCGAAGAGTGTATGCAGTTGAGCGACCTTTGGCAATGCGTTGTGCGGAGCTTGCAGGAAGTTCTTTTGTGCACACAAGACCGGCTTCCTCTATCTGATAGCGTCAGCTTTTGTTGTTGCTAGCAGGCACTGACCCAGGGAGTTGAGGTAGTTTACTGGGACCTTAGAAATCACCGGGAAAGCAACTTTTGGGGTCCGCACAATGTCCGGAATCAACAATGTAGGCCAGAATAACGCCTTTTATGCCTCCGACTTCACTTTTTTATAGCCATACCGGGAGGTGTTCCAGAATTTCTGTGGATAAGCGCCGACTTGTGCTACCAATATAACCGCTCTACAGGACCAAATAAATGATTAGATGCACATGGATGTGATCTGAGCTGGCAAACTGTCCTTACCTTTCCCGTGCGAGTCCGAGTTGGTTGAGCATAATATCTAAATTCTCGCTTCCGGGGAGGTTCGTGACACGGTCAGGGCGTCTTCCTAGGAGTTCATTTGCCGCATCTCTTTAAAGGAGAACTTTCAGGAATAGCGTTATCTCTTACGCACTGAGTTTGGTGAGTTTTAATTATCTTGCAACCATATTACTAGTAATGAATCTCACAGGACACTCGTTATCGCGAAGAAGGTCCCGGATTTTGTTAAGCTCCTCCTCAATACTGTGTATCGAGCAAATGTGTGTCCTGTGCGCCACGCAGTGGACGTTATCGTCTACCAACAACCGGACGGCAAAATGGCGAAGTTTTTCTACTGTTAACCTACAGATACGTCGTAATCTATTATTTCATGTTTTTCCTAACGTTAATTCGGGCAAAATAATGGCACAGTTAATAAAACACCATTCGGGGCAAACTGCTTGGAGTACATAATAAGTCGAGGCTCGTTAATATTGCTTTTTATATGGGGTGCACTGAACGTACTTTTTATCTAAGAAACTAGTTCAGATTCCATATGCTTCCGAAAACATTTTTACTTTGTTGCCGGGAAATAAGATTTCAGCATGGTGGTACTGCATTCCACATATTAACTCTTGTTAATTACTGGTGATTTTAAACCATTTAAAGGAGAAAATCTTACTGTACGTTATTTGCAATGACCCTGTCTCGGAGGTCTTTTTTAAACTCCTTATACCTAGATGGAAGTTTGCAGTCCCAATTATTGATGAAGCCATGCATCTTGAATAATCTACTGTCGTCAGTCGATTCATAGACTATTCAGCCTAGGATACGCTTATAAGTAAAAAGAAAAACGCCACGACTAGACGATCTTCCCGAATTTGTTTCGGCAAGTATGGAACCGCAGAGGAGACACTGGTTCCCTGAGAATTTATCGGTCACGCCATGGACTCAAACATCTCAGACCCGTGGTCCTTCTCCAGACAAAACTCTCGGCCATAAAGACCACGCTTCCTGATGTGGCGGAGGACGCTAAGCTCGTATCGTCACAAGTGGTTAGGCGCTTGTTTATAGCAATTTTTAAGATTCCGCGTATCTACACTGTATCCCACAGTTGCCTGCATGAAATCATTTGACTACGTGCGGAGATACTAAAAGTGACGCCGACAAACTGCCCTCAAGGGGCCAGCAATTGCTCCCTAACCATTTTCGCATGGAAAATATCTGTACAAACAAAAGAAAATAAGGCTTTTTGGCGCTTATACTGAAATAAAATTAAGTATTGGAGCAGAGACCATCAAGTATGTATTTATGAAATTCTCTCGTTCTTCTAGCCTGCTGAATCCGAATCCGACCTTCACTGGAGTGATATCATTTATCTGAGAGACTCCAATCCTACAAGAATATTGAAAGTCATTGACGAACGTTCAGCGACCGCTAACGCTCTTCCTTCTTCTTGGACCTCATTACTCGGACCATGACAGCAGCAGTAGCAGCGAGTAGTGTAGGTAGATACTATTCCCGGCAAGGACGGAAATGAGAGTCTTTGTCCGCCTAGCGCAACAGAATCGATAAGTAGCACATTCCACCTCTTTTTCCGCCGTTATCTGAAGAAGAAAGCACAGTTTCATGTGGCGAAAAAGCCCCCCTAAGTGAAATATGCCACGAAACCTCTCGGCTACTGCCAGGGTCAAGTTATCGGTCAATGGAAATTCCAAGAACTGCAAGAAAACGTCGTCGGCTTGCTTACGCTGGGCACGTATATGGCTCTAAGATAAGACACAATGCATAGGGTGTAGGATGTAGCAGCTAAGAAATCTAGGTATACGCACGCGACTGACTTCCGACACTCGAATCGATGAAGAATTCGTGACATTCCAAGGGCTAACATTTCTTGGCCTGTTCAGTCTCCTGCTAAACTTTTCCTCGCACAGCGATGACTTAATACCAAATAAGAATAACGGCAATAAACTATTTGCATTACTTGTACGGAACGACTCCTCATAAGTATATATATGAAGCGTTGTATATTAACTACCCAGTGTATGCATTTCGTTGAAGGACTCTAACTCCATAGTTTATCGGTAAAGAGAGCAGATAATTAATAGAATCTTATTTTATTAATAAATAAATCGTGTCTTTGAAGTGGAGCATTTGAAAAGTGGCGATAATCCATCCGAAAACGGGTTTGTTGAGAGATATCTATATATTTCGACATCCCTTTCAACAATTTCATATTATAAGTTACTGACTGAACTGTCACACAAACACACTTGGCTGTATGAATTAACAATTATTTCCCTCCTTCCGGACAAGTAGGTGAGCCATTTTTCAACTTTTGATGATAATTTGCCAGTGGTGAACGAGAGGCTTCAGAAATTCTGAAGAATCACATTTGATGTTGAAATCGTAACCCGAAACCGGCAGCAATTTTGTAAACATATGAGGTCACTTTTCTCGAGCAGCAAAACAGTTGCTTTTCTGCACATATGATAATTTCCTAGTAGTACTGCAGAATAGTAACGCAGACTCAAAGTATGTCAAGTTGAGTGCTAAAAATGAATAATAATTAACTCATGAAGTGGGTAGGTGCGTTTAAGAGAGCTTTGTCAGCAGAGCACCAGAAATAAATCCAGAGAGTTCGCTGTTAAAGTGTTTGAAATGTTGGTATGGTCATCTAAGATCACTGCCAGGACGGTTTTAACAACGGAACTTAACTACCTGTCCCAGTAGAAAAGAAGTGGGAGAGTGCTCATTTTTGCCCTGTTAGTCCTTTAAAAAATCGAAACTGCCAGTCATCCTTGTTTTTTTTTACCCTTCAGTACCAAACTCCTGTCTGGCTGACGTTGGAGATCGAACCGAAGCACCAGGCCTTTATTATAAATCACGTAGCCCCACGAAAGTTGTCTGATGTTCTTTTTGAAACAACTGGGGCCAAAGTTAAATTCCCGGACCATATCGGGAGTTCACTGTTTTCACGCCTTTTGCGAGGATCGACTTCAGATGTAAGCAGGCGCGGCTTTTATCCATCTCGGTTGTGTCTACCGAAGTATAACCCGATGATGTTCGGTGAATTGCAATCACGGCATGGTATAAAAACAATGGTGACGATTACGGGAAACGTTGAAAACGTCTATCTTGCCAGACAATGCATAATGGTATGGATTTGTATACTCAGAATTTGCAATAAGTGGATCGTGAAATTTGCTTATTAGTGTCGCTACCGATAACTTGATACGTTCCTTTTACCCCTTAGAATCTGCTTCCGATTGTCTTGATGTCCGAAATAACGAACGAAGAATTCTCCTTCCTAGAGCGCCTCGATTGTAGCAGTTTGGCGAGTACTTACGATGTGGCTCTGAGCTTCCGTACGAAACAAAGGCAGCTTTTGAAGGTGAGTTGATTGTACTAGTTTTTTATACGTTTTTGCTTTTTTAAAAATCCAACCCAGCGGCCAACGGAAAAGCGCGGACACTTTCAGAATTATAGACAGTTTCCTGGCGATAACTTCTCTTGACACCTTTGGCAAGAACTGCATGCAAGAAACGGACAGTTACGAGGGACCTCGTAAAGGAGCGTAGCAACCTTAGAATTATTAATGATTTTATGATCAGCCAATAGAATTTAGGTCTCCGTTCGCCAACAGGCTTTTCAAAATAAGTGCTATCAGGTAGAGAATAATTGTTGTGCAGACCCGTATCTGCCACAGCTCTCTAATTACATATCTGATAAGGAATCCACGACGGATCTCGGAACGTCTGGCGAATAAAAGTATTGTCCCAGCGATCAAGTCGTCTTCTTCTCAAGAATTGTTGTCTAAATTTATCATAATACCCGAACTAATCAGTACGATAAGAAGAATATCCCCGTGCGACCTAGAAACCATAACTGTTTTGAATTTGGCGGTACATTCTAAAATGGGCATTCTATTATGATGCACACAAGTCGGGATAAGACTCAATATTGCCATTCGAATCCAAAGTCACAATAAAATTGACAGTGAAATCGTCCCTATGACATAAGATAGTAGTTACGTACCGTATTCTTTTGAGCCATATACCCGTTGAAGGCGGTGTTTTGTTTTTTCGTCCGAAGTGAGGAACTAATACACGAACGATACTTAATATGCCTATTCGTGGCAATAGAGTTTTGTCTAAACTACATTAATATTCAGATTCACAACAAATATATGGTCAAAAGACCTTAAATACATTATTTTAGAGCAAGCACAATCAGTTAACATCGATTGCTGGTAATACTCGCTTGCAGCCTACACATTATAGTGCTTGTAAAATTTCCGAAGAACCGCTCTGATCGGTTTCATATACCGTATGCAATTGTATGAAACACAGAAGCAGGCAGAGTGGCTGACTGCAAGCAATCACTATTTGATTAATATATTGATCAGCAACCTGTTTGTTTATTTTAATCCGACTTTATTCTTTTAAACAGCAATCCTTGGTCATAAAGACGTCCGAGGCCAACGTAGAATCCCTGTTTCGTGTTCTCAGTCACCTGAAAATGCTTACAAGACATCGTCGTGAGTGATAACATATTCTTCTACTTTTAAATTACTGCTGAATATTAGTAGCTGTTTCTTTCAAACGTTCTTTAAGCCAAGTTGATGTGAAGTGATCAGTTTCAGATAGAAGATAGCAATTTTGACCTTTTCAACTAATGTACAATTTACAGAAGTAAATATCGATCATATTACTAGAATTGGATTTGAGTTTAGCTATCTCACGGCTCGCTTGCTTCCAACTGGTGGGGTACCATGCAATATAATTATATATAGTCTTCATGGTTAGATACAGTTTTATGCGTCGCAACAGCAGAAACGTTTGGCTATTCGATGAACCTTCAAACTCAAGTTCGGACGAAAAAAATCATCAACATGATGGAAAAGGCCAGAGCTGGCAGACGACCTTGTCTGCTCTCCGTATAAAGTCTTCAGAACAGGAATGCGGTCATGTTTTTATTCGGGCAAAGTCTCAAGCTAGCGGATTATAACTTTGGCAGAGTCTAGGAGGTAGTTTATTGAACAGTTCTAACAGCCTAGGACGCAGAAAAGGTTATCGCTAGCCAAACGTTCACAAGCTGTGTTTTATGGGTGTCAACCCCTTCGGGAAAAAGCAAGTGCTTGCCATAAACAGAACGGCGGCCCTGGCTTTATTTGCATATTCAGGATGGCTTCCTAAAATCGAATGCTTAAACTAGCTACTGTAAGTATACTTTAACTATCAAAACATTTTTCGACCAGTGCAATACAGTTGGAAGTTTACATGACAGATGCACTACGACTAAAATGTTAGGTGGGACACTATTTGAAGGTTACTTGACTTGTTTTCCTCGACTTGTCTTCGTTTATATTATTCACAGCAAAATATTCCATGAAATTGAAACCGTGCGGTTTGCTGTCTATTAGTGCAGTCTACCTTTAGAATGTTATTTGAACTCACATTTCTACGAGTGAATATAAAACGTTAAATTATTATCATTAGCACGAATCTGATAAAAAAAAACACCTAGTAACTTCGGCTAGTTAAGATAAAAGCTAATCAATCAGATAACACCGGTTAATTAAGCAGTGGGTTGGAGTGGCCGAGAAGAAATTTGTAGTATTTGTTTGCCTTGGTTCACGCAAATTATTAGCAGATAACTTTTGCAAAACAAAAAAGGATATTTTAACCTGTACTAATAGGCTAAAAGTAGAGTTTGCAACTATTATTAGGAACTATTTTACCTAAAAGTTATTCAGAACATGACAACTGGGGCTGTAATTGCCATACTTCGCCCACCTGTCATCATTAACAGGCACACTTAATCCCTAGTTCAGAACGATCTTCGAACCGAATCCTGACGATTTGCTCAATAGGAAATTTGGTCAAACACCGTATCAGCAGAAACAAGGGGCAAATGTCTCATTAGTTGTAAAGGCTGATATTAAGATAAATCTGAGAAGCACTAGCTATGTGGCTGCAATTTGAAAAATGCGCTTTCCACCTTTCATGGGGACTGTTAACTTGATTCCCTGCGAAATGTCTTAAAACCTCGGGCAGTCATTTCGGATGAAATACCTAAAAGGATAAGGTGGAACGGAGCAATCATTCTGAATTTGAATGGCTGTACTATTTCCAGATGCTGACAAAAAGTAAGAAGATATGGCTAGTTCGGTACAACTTCTCGTTATTCATATTTGTTCGGCATCAAAAAGTACGGGCTGTTCTGCGACCGCCAGCGGGAGCTTAAGCCTAGAGTCACATATCAAAAGTACTGGGTGTGTCATATCCCACAAACAGAGCTAAAAAACGCCAATAACTTGCCTATTTAGATATCTATGGTGGATTCGCAACAATTTGTGCTTCAATTTAGTTTGGGTACGTAAAATTACATTTTCAGAGTAATCAGACTAATCAATCAGACTAACGTTTACAAGGTCTACGGAAAAGAGCGCCTTGGTAGTTCGTGGTACAAAGCTGCAAAGGGAGATTATTAACTTCCAACGTCTACATTTATTTTTCTTAGGGCAACTCGTTCGGCCATTGCTTCTGCCGACGAAAGGAGAAATAGCGAATTGTAACAGAACGTGTGACCTGAGTCTACCTACTAGTGATTTGTCCCCAAAATATCCACCCTCGGTACGACGATATCCTATTCTTGGTCGAAGTGCTCTAAGGAGTCCGCCATCTGAAACCTGCAAGATTTCTGAGGCAAATCAAGCTCAACAACAACAGCGAAGTTTATTAAGTGTCAGTCCAGACAATGCGCTGGTAGACACAAGAAGTCTATCGGGGCTTTGTCTTGAGAAACAGTCAGGTAATTATCATTATTTACTCAAACTCTTTGACATCCTACCTGTGGATACTGTCGAGTATTTACTTCCTCAGCATTAATGTTTTATCTGTTTGAGCGACTGCCCCGACAGGCATAAATGAGAAGTGGTCGGGATGCTGCTTAAACGAAAATGCGTTTATTTATTTGGCATAATCGCACGGCAAAATAATCCATAAATAAACACGCTCTTATTCAAGTTTCGGAATTATATCCTAAAATATATCCTATATTTTAAAACAAAGGTTCTAAAAAGTCAGAGGAGAATTGATCACCAAGTGCTATTTTTAGGTAGATAACGAACTCAGCCACTTTGAAACATGATGTCTAAACCACCAAAAATATACATGACAGGGTGATTTTCACTTCTATTAAGCAAGAAATGAACGCTTCGCAGATTTAGAATCCACTTTTTATTTGAAAATTCATTAAGAAGATGAGTAAAACGAACAAAAAATCACTAAACGTCTCTTCTAACCATTCTTATCTGTCAGATTTTGGCAAACCTTAAAAAAAACATATGTAGCGAGCTGTTCAACAGCTGCCAAGTGCCACGCTAAAAGAACAACCTGAAGGTGGCTTATTAATCAAAATTGAGGACGATTATATTCAGCAAATTATGTTCGAAGTTTGGAGGCTGTATGCCGTAGTTGGCTGTTTAGGGTTAATACTGCCAAAGCGTTCAACAGGACTTTAAGTTTCGAGGAAAGGTTTCCTTTGGGATTATGCGTTGCGCGATATTTAGTTATCCTTTGAATACGCGGTGTTAAATGGAAGTGTCATGGCCTCTTATGGACATCCGTTTTCAGTTTATAAACAGGTATTGTGTTCAAATTTCAAAAACAAGATAAACATGTTGTTTAATGTCGGCAGAAAAACACAGAAGTACCCTAAAGTTAAGTAGCATCAAACGTTTCTCACCACCTAATCAACAGCAATTACCAAAAAATACAAGCTTTGGAAGTGCATGGCTTGTCACACTTATTTCAATGGCAGGAAACTTCATAAAAACAGAACCATGCTTGTCTAAATATGTTTAAAAATTTTTGACATACTAAAACAGATAATAAAGATGCTTGAGTATTTTTTTATCGTACGACTAACCCTTGTTCGTCTAAGTACATGTTTTCTGCATGTAAGGTTTGATCATTTTCTTGACCAAATTGATATAAGTCATGAATTCAACGGTTTTGAAAAAAAACAGTTGTCAATGATTTTTAGAGGGAATAAACACACGACATTTCAGAAATCAGTCTAATGGTTATTTTCAATGAATTTACACCGTAAAGTTATGTTAACTTTATCTGAGATCGAAGGAAGATATTATTGTTTCTCCTTTTCTACAGCAAATCTGACCGGTTTTACATTTCAGCCTCTTCATAAAACATAAATTTGTAAACTAAACTGGAACTAGTTCAGTGTGTGCTGGAAAATTTTTGATTTAGTTGCTTCCTAACTGATAATGACTTGTTTATTTAAGTGTATTTCTGAGCGCATTAGTTAACAGATCATATAGCAGGAAACGTTTATTTACTGGACAAAATTTACCCAATGCGCAGCTTTAAACTAGAT